TGATACATGTCTTTCTCTGTTTGACTTATTTCACTCAGCATAATACCCTCCAGTTCCATCCACGTCGTTGCAAATGGCAAGATCTCATTCCTTTTGATGATCAGCCCACTTTTTAGATTAGGAAACTGACTCCCATGTTAAATAATTTGCCCAGGATAGCATTGCCCATAAATGGGAGACGTGGGACTCAACCCAGGCAGGATCTCCCAAAGTCCTGTGCTGTTTTTCCACACAAGACCATCTTTTTTGGTAGAAACCTAGCACTCTGACCCAAGATAGCCCAGCAGATAATAGAACCAGAGACTGGGGAACTCAGGGCTGGTGCTCAGTCTGGGGGTGGTCTCAGTTCCGGAAAGTCGAAAAGAGACTGTCCAGCTTTTTCCTGGGCCAGTCTCTCTCAGGTTAAGGACCTACTCTTCTCCCTATCCTTCCAGTCCCTGTCCTGGCTCTCCGAGGGGAGAGGGAATGGGATGGGAATTCTGGGTGGGGGAGGTGGAGAGTGGTGGCTTGGCTGGCAATCAGTAGAGGGTCCAACAGGGCAGGTTCTCAGGCTGGGCCACCTGAATCCCACTGGTCCAGGGCCTGAGCTTGTTCCACAAGGAAGTAGCACAGAGTGTAGGTGGTGATGACACGAATCGACCTGAGCTGCTTATGCCTTCCTGCTCTGACAGAGGGTCCATGGGAGTCCCACTCCAGGGCCAGAACCTAAAACCCTGGGTTCTGGTCAGGGAGATGAGCTGGATGGGGCTCCGTGGTCTTGTGACCGGCCTTCCTCATTTGGAAACCTGCCCACCCCCACCCCAGACTGGCCTGTTTGGCACAACACAGGGTGGAGTGGGGACTTCCTGGGTCATTGAGGGAGCTGGGTAGGGCGTGAACTGAGTGCGAGCTCCCGGCCATTTTAAGGGTGCTGCAGTGCTCTGGGGGGTGGGGGGAGCTATTTGGTAACAAGGAGTCCATTCTCAGCTGAGCTTGGATAAAGCCATCCTGGAGGCTTAGATGGACCAAGACAGGCAAGGTGGGCAGGTGCTCGGGGCATCTAAACCTTTGATTCTTGCATGGGGTAGAGAGATCCTTCCCAGGGTGGGTTGGCTTGCTCCCCTTTCCCTGTTTGTGGCCAGTCCAGTCCAGATTCCTATGGCCTCCCGGAGCACCCTGCTCCTTCCTTCATTCCCCTCACTTGCCCTCCCACTCTTTCTATTGGAGGAGTGGCTTAGGAGGTGGAGTCTGTGTTTCCTGGAGACCCAGCAGCTGGGGGAGGAGCTGGCTTTATTGCCCCTCTGGCCCTTTGCCCTCTTGGGGGCTAGGAAGTAGGGAGTGGTAGGGTGGGGCATCTGCCCCTTGCTCCTGGGGCCTGGGACTGGGTGGATGTTGCTGGTTTGGCCCAAGGCCTGATGCGTCACTCCATCACTCCGCTGTCCACTGCCACCCTCAGGGCTGGTGGCGCTAGCCTATCTGTCTCCTAGGTAGACTGCCAGGGGGTCTTGTCTTCAGCTGATGACTTTCTGAAAAATGTAAGGAGGGAGGCACCCCCGTGGCTTTGTCTCTCAGAGGTCACCCCAGAACCTGCCTGTTGGACCCTCTACTGATTGCCAGCCAAGCCACCAGGGTGCGGGTTTGGTCCAGACAGGTGCTTTTCTTTCCTGCTCTTCTGGTTCTATTTCCCTCGCAACCCCTGGAAGCCAGGGCCTCCTTTTCTCATTCTAGGCCTCTACACCTGCATCTGACATGTTTTTCTGTGGATGCTCTCCCCTCCCATCCCTTCACTGTCACTGTGTGTCCCGGTCTTCCCCCTTGGGTCCACCCTCTGTGACTCTGCCTCATCAAAGAGGAATCTCAGTGACTCAGCCTCCCACCAGCGTTCTTATCTCTTTACCTTCTTTTCTTCCTTTCAACTCACTCTTAACGCCTGACATAACTCTCTGTAAAGCCTTGGTAGGGGGCAGTTCGGCAGTATCCATCCAGACTGTAAACAGGGGCGCCTGGCTGGCTCAGTCGGAACAGCTTGCGACTCTTGATCTCGGGATGGTGAGTTTGAGCCCCACGTTTGGTGTAGGGATTAGTTAAATGAATAAATAAATAAAAACTTTTTAAAAGCCCTGTAAATGCACATAACCCTCAACACAGTTCCACTTGTAGGAATTCATCTTGCGGCTGTACTTACATGTGTATAAACCAACTTACCAGCCAGTTACTCACTGTAGCATTGTTTATAATAGCAAAGAATTGGAAACAATCTAATGTCCGTCAACACATCTTATAACTGGATATGGTAATGCTGTTTTAATAAAAATAATAAACCTGAGGCAATATGGTTTAGTTCTTAGTAGGGAAGGAAGAGGAGAAGAAAGAAAAAGAGAATCTAAATCAAGAGGAGACTGGTGTACTGATTAATTAAATTGTAAGTTATGGTGCATTCATATAATGAGTACTGTGCAACCAAAAAAAAAAGGGAAATTGTTTCCATGTTGCTATGGAATGATTTCCAAAACATATTGTGGGAAAAACAAGAAGGAGAACTTGGGCAAGATGAACCTGAGAGGTTAAGGAGAGAAGGTTAAGAAAAGACAAGATTTAATTCTCACTACTCTTTTGTACTTTTTTGAGGGTAAGATTTCACTTTTTAAGTAATCTCTACACCCAACGTGGGGCTCAAACTCACAACCCTGAGATCAAGAGTCACATGCTCTACCGACTGAGCCAGCCAGGCGCCCCAACTCTTAAGTACTTTTTTTTTAATTTTAAGATTTTATTTATTTATCTGAGAGAGAGAGAAAGAGAGCATGAGCAGGAGGGGAGGAGCAGAGGGACAAACAGACTCCAACTGAGCAGGGAGCCCAATGTAGGGCTCGATCCCAGGACCCTGAGATCATGACCTGAGCCGAAGACAGATGCTTAACTGACTGAGCCACCCAGGTGCCTCTCTTTTGTACTTTTTGAATTTTTTATCCTATATATGTACTACCTAAGTTAAAAACAACCCTGAGATTATAAAAAGCAATCAAAATCACATTTCTTTTTTTTTTTCTTTTTGAAGATTTTATTTATTTATTTGGCAGAGAGAGAGGCAGGGAGAGAGGAAATACAAGCAAGGGGAGCAGCAGAGGGAGAAGCAGGCTTCCCGCGGAGCAGGGAGCCTGATGCGGGGCTCGATCCCAGGACCCTGGGATCATGACCTGAGCTGAAGGCAGACGCTTAACGACTGAGCCACCCAGGCGCCACCCAAAATCATATTTCTAAGTAAATGGGTGACCAGCAGCACGGTGTTTTAGAAAGAGCTATGAAGTCAGATAGACCAGGGTTCAGATCCCAGTTCTGCTGTTCAAAAACTGAGTGACCCTGGGGAAGTCATTGAACCTCTCTGGTGTCAATTTTCTGATCTGGAAAGGGGCAAGAATGCAGTTGTGGCAGGATGGTTAGGAAGGTAGGTAACATAGATCAGGGGTCAGCAAATTTTCTGTAAAGGTTCAAATAGGAAATATTTTACGCTTTGTGGCCCATACAATCTCTGTTCCAGCTACTCCGCTCTCTTATAACGCGAAAGCAGCCATTGACAATATGTAACCGAAGAGGTGAAGCCATATTCCAACTCATGGACACGAATTTGAATCTTAGGTGCTTTCCCCATGTCACAAAGTACTATTCTTTTGATTTTTTTCAACCATTTAAAAGTGTAACAGGTGGTGGGCCAGATGTGGCCTGCAGGCCATAGCTTGTCAACTCCTACTGCAGATGATGCAGATAGATGATGTGTGGTGGCCAGCATACATTAAACTCTTGGCAGCTTTGTTAATAAACCCAACTGCATATCTTTCTCCAACTCTGGCCTCTCAGTTGCTCCCATGTGCACTTCTGCTGCCTGCTGGTCACTTCTCTCAATGGTCTTCCCTCCCTCAAGTTCAACTTCTCTGATTGAACCCACAGGTTCCCTCTAGATTGGGTTTCCTTTCTGTCTGCACCCTGACCCTTCCTTCCCACTTCTCAGTGCCTGTCAAACACGGAAGCCTGAAGTGTTTGTCTAGCATTCTCACATCCTCCTTTCCATTCCCTTAGCTATCCCTCTAATTCCAACTACTCCCTTCGAGTGTGCCCTGGACTGCTGCGCTGGTCCACTCACTGGCCTCCTCGCTCCGTAGAAGTAATTCAGGATAGGGACGCCTGGGGGGCTCAGTCAGTTGGGCATCTGCCTTCGGCTCAGGTCACGATCCCAGAGTCCTGGGATCAAGTCCCACATCGGGCTCCCTGCTCAGCCAGGAGTCTTCTTCTCCCTCTGCCTGCAGATCCCCCTGCTTGTGCTCTCTCTCTCTCTGACAAATAAATACATAAAATCTTAAAAAAAAAAAATGTAATTCAGGACAGAGGGCTCCCTAACCCTTCAGACTCCTGGACCTCGCTTATGCATCTAGGAGGTCAGTGTCTGATGCATCTGTGGCCTCCAGAACTCTGTACCACTACTCATGGCCCCTTCCTGTAGCCCAGGTATTAAATATTTGAATGTCACTTCTGCTGTGTCCGCATGCTCTGGCTCTGCATTGAGGGCCCTTTGAGGCATGTCTCACCCCGCTGGCCTTTTTCATGTCCGCCAGACCCACCTTGCAAATTCCCACCTCCTTGCTTTTGCTCACCTTTTCTGCTGTTACCAATAGCACAGCACATTCTTCCCCATAAGCAAACCCCAAAAAAAGCCCAAACAAAAGAATTTTAAAAATCCTTTCTCCCTTCTCCAGAAAGCCTTCCCTCCTTCCTCTAACTTGCTGTGGCGTGGCCACTTCCTAGTCTTGGACACGCACCACGCATTGCTTCATCTTGGTGGGTCTTTTCTCCCATGTTGCTTCCTGGTGCTCAGTCTCATCTGCCCAACTGGACTGGAGTCCCCTCAGAGGCAGTGTATCAATTCCTATGGCTGGTGAAACAAAGTACTATGAACTGGGTGACTTCAAACAACAGAAATTTATTGTTTTACAGTTCGGGAGGCCAGAAGTCCAAAATCCAGGTGTTGGCAGGGCTGCAGTCTCTCTGAAGAGCGGGAGAGGATCCTTCCTGGCCTTTTCCAGCTCCTGGCAGCTCCAGGCCTTCCTTGGCTTGCGGCTGCATCACTCCGGGCTCTGCCTCCCTCTTGACCCAGCTTCCCTTCATTTTGTTTTCTCCTTTTCTGTCTTTTATAAAGACATGTGTCATTGCATCGGCCTACCCAGCTAATCCCGAATGATCTCATATGGAGATGCCTAACTTAGTTACTTCTGCTAAGACCCTTTTTCCAGATAAGGTCACATTCACAAGTTCTGGAATTAGACAAAGGCATATGTTTTGGGTCCCACCATTCATCCCACTACAGGGAGGAATTGTGCTTGGGACTTGTTTCTCCCCAGCCCCTAACTTGAGACTGGTGGAAGCCTCGGGCACAGACATTGTCAGGCTGAGGGAGGGTGTGATTCCCTGGAGACCCCTTGTAAGGGGAGGCAGGCACCCTCCTCCTGCGACTATATACTCTGGGACACCAAGGCTTGCCACGTTGCTGCCCAGGGACTCTGTGCTTCAGACCTCTACCAGGCTGGGCTTCTCAGCAGCAATCCAGACCAGCAGAATGAGGGGTAATAGTGTTAATTACATATTTACTTGTTTGGCTTTTCAAAAATACTGTTACTTTAACTTTTTAAAGCAATTAGCACAGGTACCTGCTTATAGAAAATAGGAATAAGTTCCTTTCCCATGTATATTTTTTCCTTAATTGGGATCAAATGGCACATGCTGTTCCGTATTTTGCTTCCAAAAGCAGGTTTTACATTAAAAATGCCTTCAGGGGCACCTGGGTGGCTCAGTCGGTCAAGCATCTGTCTTTAGCTCAGGTCATGATTCCAGGGTCCTGGGATCAAGTCCCGAGTTGGGTTCCCTGCTCAGTGGGGAGCCTGCTTCTCCCTCTCCCATGTGGCCCATGTTGCTCCCCCACTTCAGGAGAGCTCTGGTCCATTCAGTGAGAGTTGACCTGACCTTACCTTCCCCCTCAGGGTCCCGGATCCCCAAGGCATGGGCAGGCATAGACTTGAAGGTACAGCCCCAGGAACCGCTGGTGCTGAAGGATATGGGGAACACAGATTGGTACCTACTGCAGGGTGACGCGGATGTCAGAGTAGAGGTGAGACACTGGGCTGGCTCTCTGACCCCCACCTCAGCTCTCTAGGGCCCCCTTTCCAGGGCCACAGGCCAACCTGAGGTTCCAGATGGGTGGGGTGGATAGAAGCTGGGGATCCATTTACTACCAAGTCCCTCTGCCCTCCGTATGGGGTGGCTGTGTGGCTGGGAGGAGCTCGGGCAGCCGCAGGGCATCGGGGGTCCCAGCCTGATGGCTCCTCCTGTGTGTAGAAGAATGAGCCGGACCAGGTGAAGTTGTGGGGACTCAAGGAAGGCACCTACCTGTTCCAGCTGACAGCGGCTGACTCCGACCAGCCAGAGAGCATGACCAACATCACAGTTACTGTGCTGTCCCCCAAGCAGACAGAAGGTGAGGGAGCGGGTGGGGAGGAAGTACCTGGAGCCAACCCCCTCTGTTGATGGGGCCCCACGGGGGCCCCTCACAAGCTTTCCTCCCCCCAGAATATTGCCTTGCGTCCAGCAAGGTGGGCCGCTGCCGCGGTTCCTTCCCTCGCTGGTACTATGACCCCAAAGAACGGATTTGCAAGAGTTTCGTATACGGAGGTTGCTTGGGCAATAAGAACAACTATCTTCGGGAAGAGGAGTGCAAGCTAGCCTGCCGGGATGTGCAAGGTGGGCCTTTACAAGGCAGCTTTGGGACTCAGGTGTCTTTCCCCCAGGGTGGGTGGTCCCTCTGCCGGTCAGGGCAGTGGGCAGGGGGAGTCCTCCATTCCCAGGCACCCCTGTCAGCTCGTCCCTGCTGGGACCCGGCCCCAACTCCTCTCACTCATCTGCTTTCTCTCTCCCAGGCCCCTCACTGGACAGGCATGGTCCAGGTGAGCTCTGCTCCTTTCCCTGTTCCCCTCACCCCTGCTGGGTCATGTCTTTGTCTCTGCCCCAGCTGCCTTTGCCCAGCCATGCCTGCCCTCGTAGGATGTGGAAGGACCACAAGTGCCGCACCCCTTGCGGCCCAGCACCTTATCAGGATCTGCCCAGTTTGTGTGTTGGGGGGTTTGTGGGGAACAGGGGCACTGGAGGGGAGCAGGGGACATGTCATAATGCCGTGTTGGGGCAGAGGAGGCCAGGTAGATGATGGACTCTTGGTACTCGGTGACCTATGCGCAAGCCTGACCTCACCCTTAACGCCGTCCCGCCCACCCAGTGTGCTCTGGCACCTGTCACCCCACCGAGTTCCGCTGCCGCAACGGCTGTTGCATCGACAGCTTCCTGGAGTGTGACGACACGGCCGACTGCCCCGATGCCTCTGACGAGGCCGCCTGTGAGAAATGTGAGGCTGGGGCAGGCAGGGTCGCTGGGCCGCAGGGGGCCCTCTGGGGTGCGCGCCTCTGACCTTCCATCTTTGCAGACACCAGTGGCTTCGAGGAGCTCCAGAACATCCACTTCCGCAGTGACAAAGGTGAGCTCCTCCCCGGGTCCCCTGGGTCGGGACAGAGGCCGGCAGGGCGCCCGAGGGGCCCGCTGGGTGCACCAGGTGCAGGTAGAAAGCTGGTGGGCGCCTGGTGTTTCCCAAGCATGGGTCCTCCTCTGAACACCTTCGGAGATTTAACCATGCCTGCATATCCCTGAGATTTTATTTACTTACCATTTTTCCTATAAATCAAGTACTTTTTCTTTTTAAGATTTTATTTATTTATTTGAGAGAGAGAGAGAATGAGCCGTGGGGAGGGGCCGAGAGAGCGAGTGAAAGAGAGAGAGAACCAGACTCCCTACTGAGCAAGCAGGGAGCCCGATGCGGGACTCGATCCCAGGACCCTGGGATCGTGACCTGAGCCGAAGGCAGATGCCTAACCAACTGAGCCACCCAGGCGCCCCAAAATCAAGTACTTTTTAAACTTAATGTATTAAAGGAAATGTCATATCACTAGCATAAATGGCAAGCCACTGTTACATGCTACAAATCGAGATGAACTATTGAAATAACTATAATAAAACAATGTTAATAGATTTTAGCTGGACGTTGTTGCCCGCCAGGGCTCAGACTCTGAGCCTTCTTTGTTAAAAGCTAGACCGTCCAGTGCTGGAGAGAAAACCGAGACCTTGACACAATCGGAAAAGCTGAAAGAAAACTGGAAAAAAAAAAAAAATAGTTATGTGAGTCAAGGTAGGGTATTTCTGTGCCTAAAATCGTTGTCCAGGATCTGTCTTCCTTGCTTCTGGCAGAAGTGCGGAAGGGCCAGCTGGGGCTGTTCCTGGGGCCCCCTGAGGCCCTCACTGAGTCTCAGCATGAGGCGGGGCAGGAGGTGGCAAGCAGCACCCTCCAATGTGGAGCCTGGTGGATGGTGGCAGGGAGGCCCCCCATGGACTCACTCACCCCTTGGCCTGCCCCTATCCCCCAGGGCACTGTGTGGACCTGCCAGACACAGGGCTCTGCCTGGAGAACATCCCACGCTGGTACTACAACCCCTTCAGCGAGCGCTGCGCCCGCTTTACCTACGGTGGTTGTTACGGCAACAAGAACAACTTCGAGGAGGAGCAGCAGTGTCTTGCGTCCTGTCGTGGCATCTCCAGTGAGCTGGGCACTGGGGCCCAGAAGACGGGGAGGGGAAGGGCTTAGCTAGAGCACTCTGCTCTGTCCCAAGGCCTGGGCTGGCTCCAGTTGATCATCAGAGTCCCCGGAATGGGGGTGGCGGAGGGGGGCAGTGGGTGGTCTGGGGGCACTGAGGAGCAGTTGAGTCTCAGAGCCTTGAGTATTGACTTGTTTCTCTCCTCATCATTTTGTAGAGAAGGATGTTTTTGGCCTGCGCCGGGAAAGCCCCATTCCTAACATGGGTGAGCCCTGGTCTGCCCTCTCACGGACGAGTAGGTATCCTCTCAAGGATCAGCTCCACGTGATTGGTGGTGACTGCCGAAAACTGTGTTGAGAAGGATCCTGAGGTTGGGTAAAGGGACAGAGTGCCCACGGCCAGTGGTGATACCTGCCACAGGCAGAGGAGGGAAGCACAGTGAAGTGCGTGTCATGTGTTTGCCGTCAGAGTCGCGGGCCTTTCCTTGAGCTCCTGACGGAGCCCAGCTGCTCATACGCTGGAGGTCATTCCACACCTGGCATCCATTTGACTTGGTCCCTTCTGTGCAGAGTGGGGGTGGGCATCAGAGCTGAGCGGGCCCCGGGAGCTCTCCTCCATTCCGCCCCTTCTTCCCCCAGGCTCCGTGGAGGTGGCCGTTGCCGTACTCCTGGTCGCCTGCATCGTGGTGGTGATAGCCCTGTTGGGTTACTGCTTCTTCAAGAACCAGAGGAAGGGCTTCCACAGACGCCACCACAACGACCACCTCCAACCCCCTACCCCTGCCAGCTCCACGGTCTCCACCACAGAGGACACGGAGCACCTGGTCTATAACCACACGACCCGGCCCCTCTGAGCTGGGGGCTCGCCCAGGCTCTTTCCGGCTCTTGCCTGGCCCTGCTTCCTCCTTGCCAAGATGGAAGCCTGGGCTGGGGAAGACTTTGGGACCAGGCTCCTCCAGCTATTTCCCAGGCCCACTCTGCTTCTGAGGCAGGGCTCCGGCCCCTCTGGGAGATGTCTTAGCTAAGCTTAGGCCTCTCATTCCTGACAAAGCTCCAGGGGCTGGGAGGAGCGGAAGACCTTTGAGCCCAGAGTCCCACACACAGATGGACCTGTCAGCCTAGGATTTCAGAAGAAGTTGAAGTTTTGTTTCTTGTTCAAAGCTGCCTGTCCCCACCCGGTGGCCTTGGGAAGGGGCCTGGGGCAATGTCAGAAGCTGGAGGCCCCCTGGCGGTGCCCTTCAGAGCTGGCCCTCCCACCCTGCACAGTCCAGGGCTGGGGGGAAGGACGTCCCTGTATATTTTGTGCTGTATAGAGTTGCTTTTTGTTTATTTAATGCCATGGGGATGGGTAAGAGGAGTGGAAAGAGGCTGCCTCTTCCCTTCCCCCAAGAATGAGGCCTGGCCTGGCCCACGGGGCCTGGTGTGCAGTATCGTCCCCACACGCCCCAGGGCTCTCAGGCATCACACCCCCCCTGTTCCCCTGCCTTCCCCGGGCCCCAGTCCACCCCCAGTGTAATAAAATGGTTGGTTCTGTGAGGCTGCTGCCTCTGCTGTCTGGGGCAGGAGAGGGACAGGGCTGCTGGGGGGGATAGGACTGCCCTGTACAACCGGTTTGGGCTTCGGCCACCCTGTTCAGCAGGTTTTCCCACCCTTCCCGAAACTGCCCCAGCCTCTGAGGGTGGAGAGAATTGCCAAGTTTGACCACCAGAGGGGAGGGGTGAGAGGGCCATGGAAGAAGGGGGCCCAGGAGGCTGCCATGCTGCCGCGTAGCATGATTTCTTCCTGGTGTGAGCCTTGTCAACAGGTCTGCTCGGTCGCTGGGGCAGCTCCTGACTGCAGCATGTAGTGGAGAACTCAAGGGCAGGGGGGGAGCATGGCTTTGAACTCTGATTCTTATCTCCACTCCTTTTGGTGTGGGGGCCCAGGTCACCGCTGTCTCCCCTGCCCACCCACAGAAGCTTTGGCTTTTTCACAGGAGTGTTGCTGCTCCCCAGGCTCTGAGCTCCTGCCCGGGGGCCTTTAGTTGAGGTACTCCAGCCCACACCCCTCCATCTGTTTCAGCCACTTTTTGTTTGGTGTCAAAAAAAGCCATCCTTTTATTCATCTCAACAAATTATATATTGAGGAGCTATGTGCCCTACACCGCCAATCTGATATTGTCAAGATAAGCATGCAGGAAGCATGCGTAAGGGCTTTATGTATCTCACGTTCTTACCTCGGCACACAGCCCTGTGATGAAGGTACTATTACCCCCATTTTCCAGGAAGCTGACTCAGCAAAGCTGAGTTCCCAGGGTCCTAGAGCTGATACTGGAGGACTGGGTTCAAACCCTAACATGGCTCCTAGTCCTAACAAAGAGATACTTTTAGATTGCAATAATTGCTATACAGAAAAATAACATGGAGGGTCACCTGGGTGGCACATTGACTTGGGCATCCGGCTCTTGGTTTCAGCTCAAGTCCTGATCTCAGGGTCATCTGATCGAGCCCCGTGTCAGGCTCCAAGCTCGGCGTGGAGTCTACTTGGGTTTCTCTCTTACTCTCCCTCTGCCCCTCCTGCCCATGTTCTCTCTCAAATAAATAAATCTTAAAAAAAAAGATGTGAGAGTTTGGGGGCTACAAATGATTGAAGGTGAAGGTACATATTTGACTCCTGGAAGTGTACAGCTCCATAAATTTCCATAACCACACACACCCCAGGAGGCGAGCACCCAGATCAAGAAGCAGAACCTTTCTAGCACCCCAGGATGGGCCTCCTTTCGATGGCTAACTCTCACACTACTGTGTTTTTGTAACTGTTGCACTCATCCTGGACCACATCCTCCTTTCTCATCTTTCGGCCTAATTGTTCTTCCCCAATTTCTCCCACGCACACTCAGGTGGGAGACGCCCTGGTGTCTTGGTAACAGAACCCTGAGCACAGAATGCCCCCTTCTCCTGTCTCCTTATCTGTCTTCCCTCTGGGTTGTGAACTGGAGACAACAGATGGTATCTTTGTCGTCTCTGGGTCTCTGTCACCCCACATAGCTCCATGACCTTAGTAAATGGTAGTGGATAGATGGCAGTGACAAGCCTCGTTACTCCGGCTGCCCCCATTTCATAGGACACCGAATTTTGGCTTCCTGCTCTGCCATCCCTCAAGGCTCAAAATGGATTCAGTTCCTCTAGTGCCCCTAGCACTGGGGACAACCCCCATTATCCCTTGGATCTCTGAAGCACCTCCAAGGCTGAGGTGATGAAAGATTCATGAAATTGTGTATCCCAATGCCTACAACAGTGATCAACGCAAAATAAATGCTTAATAGGTGTTTGTTGGACAGAAAGGAACAGCCTCCTCTTAGGGAGGGGTGGAGATGAGGTGAGACGGTGCCAGGCAAAGTGCCCCCCCCAGAAATATAGGGGATGCAGGGAGGGCTCAGCCAGGTCTGCTAGGACAACGGGAAGAAGGATTGCACAGGGGCCGCTAGGGGGCACTCTCACGACTACCAGGCGCTGTGTTTCACGGCAAGGGTTTGAGTGAAGGTACTAGTCCCAGGCAGGTAGCAGGTGTGGAGCCTTGAAAGCTGAGACGCAGCCTCTGCTCTGCTAGAACTTACCCTGTGGAGTGCAGGCAAACGGAATGCAAATACTGTCAGAAAGCAGGTTCCCAAACCGCTTGTTTCTGTGACTTTCCCAGGCATCCTCTTTTCCATCCCCGCCCAGTGACAGCCTTTCTCAGAACTTTCACACCTACATTCCTTTGCACGGGCTGTGACCTCTACCTCAAATGCCTCTTTGCCCTGGAAAGCCTCTACTTACCTCTTGATGAAGCTCAAAAAGCGTTTGCTGTTTCTCCAGCCAAAACCCCTTGGTGCCCTCTCCACTCCCCCACGCGGCGTACAGCTCTGCTGCACACGCATAGCCCATGGTAGTGTATGTCTGCCCTACCTGGAGGAGGCTCCGCGGGCAGGGCTGGGGATGGGGTCTTTTTTTTTTCTTTTTTCCTTAAGTTCATTTATTTAAGTAATCGCTATATGCAATATGGGGCTCGAACCCACAAACCCGAGATCAAGAGTCACATGCTCCTCTGAGCCACCAGGCGCCCCAGGGATGGAGTCTTATCTACCTCAGTATCCCCCATGCCAGGTCCTGCTTGTGGATACAAGGCGTCTAACAAATGGCTGTTGAGTAAAGCAGAGGCTGATCAAGCCATGGAAATTAAGAGGGAGGTTGAGAAATGGCTTCATTGGAGGAGTTATAAAAAGAGATGAGCAGGTGGGTGTGGGTGTTCCAGGCACAACAAATCATAGTGAGTAAAAGCCAGGCAGTGAAGATCATGGGTCTTGTTTTGATTGGGGACTGACAAGCTGCTCAGTTGGACTCAAGCCCTGAGAGGGAAAGCCAGGAGCTTGGCGGGTAGAGGCAATGTTGGTGAATATGGTGGGGAAGACAGATTTGAGCAGGGGAAGGAGCAATTCAAACTGAGCTTGAAGGAGTGGCTAGGTAAGCAGGCCCTGTCACTAGAGGTCGCACCACAGGAGAGGGAGAGAGGGAGAAGGCCACACCAAGCAAATTAGGGTTACGTGTGTAAAGTACATGAGATGTGCAGTAAAGGCTAGTCGAAAAGTTGCATGCTGGCAGCCAGTCATGCTTTGACACAAACAGCGGTTTAATTTCTTTAATTAGTTACTAACATTTAAAGAGTCAGGAAAATTCATTTTTTAAAAAATCCACTTTTCTAGCTTTTTGTGAAAACTTAGGAGACTGGCAATCGGGGGCCCACATTCCTATAGCAATGCAGGCACTGAGTTTGGGTCCCCTTGAGCTGGGCAGGCACTAACCCATCCATAGCCCCAGCCAGCCTGCCACTCCAGACATTCATTCAACTTGGGGACCCCCATCATCTTATCCCTTCTAACCCAACCTGTCTTCCCCTACTGGGGAGTTTTCTCTAAAATTTACTGGTCCCAGGGCGCCTGGGTGTCTCAGTTGGTTGGGCATCTGCCTTCGGCTCTGGTCATGATCCCGGGGTCCTGGGATGGAGGCCCCATGTCAGGCTCCCTGCTCAGCCAGGAGCCTGCTTCTCCCTCTCCCTCTGCCTGCCGCTCTCCCTCCTTGTGCTCTCTCTCTCTCTGTGTCAAATAAATAAATAAATAAAATCTTTAAAAAATAAAAAAAAGGGGCGCCTGGGTGGCTCAGTCGTTGAGCGTCTGCCTTTGGCTCGGGTCATGATCCCAGGGTCCTGGGATCGAGCCCCGCGTCGGGCTCCCTGTTCTGCGGGAGGCCTGCTTCTCCCCTCTCCACACCCCCTGCATGTGTTCCCTCATTTATTAAATAAATAAATAAAAATTTAAAAATAATAAAATAATAAAATAAAATTTATTGGTCCCAACAGTTCAAATAAACACTGGCAAAACTGGGTTGTTTCTCCCGAACTCATCCCTGCCCACTTAAACAAACAGCCCTGAATGAGGAGTGGTTTGCCCTATTGCACAAGACCACTCCCTTCCCCCACCCAAGCGAGAGACTACAGCCTGGGAAGGCACTTTTCAGGTCCCCTTGGGAGGGGTTGCTTTCAGCACTATCTGATAGCCCTAAACCCAGAAGGCCAGTTTGGGGGGCAGAGGGGGAGGAGGGGTGGCCCAGACTCTCCCACAGGGTCCTTCAGAGTGCCTGCCTTTTCTAACCCCCAAACTGCAGGGGAGCCTGGGGGTTCTATCAGTGGATCCCAGAACCAGGATGACCAAGAAAATAAACCGAGAAAGAAATTGAGAGGCTCCTTGTGGCGGAGTTTAAAAAAAGGGGGGAGGGCTATATGTTTAGAACAACAAAACAAAAAAAGGGTATTTACCCAAATGTTCCCTCTCATTGATAAAATTACCGGTGGTTTTCATTTTCTTCTTTTTGTCAGCCTGCATTTTCTAAATTTTCTATAAGAAATGTCTGTTGCTTTTGTAATAAGAAAATGTTATTCTTTTGAAAAAGTATTCAGGTATATTCCAGTAAGAAACAAACCATCAGACCATGCAGCTCTTCGATGGGATGGAGACAGTGGGGAGAGAAAAGAAGAGAGAGCTTCTGAGATCTGGGGAAGGGAGGCGCTGCAAGGCTTGGTAGCTGGAGTATGCAGAGGGAGAAACTGAGTCAGTGGGGCCTTCAGATTTTCTGTCCTGGGAGCCTGGGTGGGTGACAGTTCTGCCAGCAGAAACGGGGCCGCGTGGGAGGGGTAGCTTCGAGAGAACCGAAGAGAAGGTGAGGGGCCCCCAGGTACCAGAAGGAGACGTTGTTTTTTTTTTAAAGATTTTATTTATTTATTTGAGAGAGACAGAGAGAGAGCATGAGAGGGGGGAGGTCGGGAGGGTCAGAGGGAGAAGCAGACTCCCCGCCGAGCAGGGAGCCCGATGCGGGACTCGATCCCGGGACTCCAGGATCATGACCTGAGCCGAAGGCAGTCGCCCAACCAACTGAGCCACCCAGGCGCCCAGGAGACTGGTTTTATTGATTTTACCATTGGTACTTAGTTTTTATTTGCTTATGCCTTGCCTTCCTGAGGAAGGAT